GTTTATATCTCACAATTCTAAGTTTATATCTCATCATTCTGAGTTTATATCTTGCAATTCTGACTTCTTGTCTCAGAATTCTGTTTATATCTCACAATTCTGAGTTTATATCTCATAATTCTAAGTTTATATCTCATAATTCTGAGTTTATATATCATCATTCTGTGTTTATATCTCGCAATTCTGACTTCTTGTCTCAGAATTCTGTTTATATCTCACAATTCTTAGTTTATATCTCTTAATTCTAAGTTTACATCTCATAATTCTAAGTTTAAATCTCATAATTCTAAGTTTATATCTCATAATTCTGAGTTTATATCTCACAATTCTGACTTCTTGTCTTAGAATTCTGTTTATATCTCATAATTCTAAGTTTAAATCTCATAATTCTGAGTTTATATCCTGCAATTCTGATTTTATATCTTGTAATTCTGAGTTTATATCTCGCAATTCTGAGATCATATCTTGCTATTCTGTTTTTTTGTTTCCTCCACAGAATTTAAAAAAAAAGAAGAAAAGGTAGTTGTGACTTTATCTCACTATTACAGTCAAACCAAAAATTATTCAAACACCAGATATCATTTTTTATATTTTTTAGTGGGTGCAGGACACTATAGTTCATTTATGTAAGTGAGGATAGTAAAATAAAATAAAAAGTAAACTGTGACATATTATACTCAAAAACTCTTCCTACAGTGGACTACCAGTAAAAATTGGAAGAAGAAAAAATTGGGACCAAAAATTGTTCAGACACTTTGACCTGACCGTGTTTTGCTTAAGTGTTTTATCTTTAATTGCTAATGTGACCTTTTTACACCACAAATGACTGAACAAAATTAAGCATTGCTTGGTAATTGGTTGACCTAAATTGGTATTACCTAATTATGTACTTAAATTTAACAGCAGAGCTGAATAATTTTTGGTTGATTGTAATCCATTACATACCTTCCTATCAAAGTTATCTGACATTATCAAGATGAATTTGTTCTGACACAGTTTAACTACTGAGTTCTTGTCATATTTTATTAACATTTTCTAAACTATAGCAAATAAACTGTGATAATGTGAGAAATGTTGAAGGTATCTGAATAAAGTTTGGTTTGACTGTTTTTTTTTTTTTTACAATAGCAAGTTTATATCTCTCAATTCTGCGTTTAAATATCACAATTCAGACTTTTTTCATTCTGAAAAGAGATAAAAAGTTGCAATTACATTTTTATCCCATGGTGGAAACAAGCTTCAATATCAGGAAACGTGTTCTTTAAATAAAGATTGAAAGTGTTATCAGAAGCTGCTGTCTGGTGATGCAAAAGTCAAGCAATCGTGAAGTAGTTTATTTATAACCTAACTTTAGCTTTTTAGTTCTGACGGTTGTATTTAGGCTTCAAAATTCATAAAAGTTAATATATGAAGATGTTCTTGACGAACAAAACTTTAAAGAATCATAAAATGTGTTTGGTCACAGACAGGGGCGGCGTTTCCGTATGGCAGTTGCCATACCCTAGCCCAGTAAGGTGTGCCATGAAAAATTGAATATCTCTATTATATTTCTTTATTATTATTTTAAATCAGAGGGTTTTTACAAATGTTTAACCAATAATAAAACTTCATAACGCCATTGAATCCTTAAACTGTCAGCGAAACCTCGTAACTTCACCCCGCCTCCATTCATATTGACGCGCCGCACAGAGGAGGAAACAGATCTCCGCTTTTTTGCAATGCAAGGGTAAATAAATAACTGACGTTTGAATAGTACAGCGTTTTCTTTATTCAAACACTATGTCTTTAAAGCCTAATGTTTTTGTGTGTTTGAAGAGTGGAGAAGTAGGCTATTTGCCATCTAGTTGTAGCCAATATACTTTTTGTACGTTTTAAATAGCCTGTGCATATCGCGCTTCATCATTTATATCATGAGATTTTGGCCAAGTATATTAAACAACAAGAAAAACTAAGCACCCATATAGCTACAATAAACGTTATATAACCTGTAAAAGTTGATGAAATCATATAATGCAATGCACTTGCTGCCTCAGATGCGGCCGTTCTATTGACAGACAAAACACAGATCTCCGTCATTCGCTGGTCAAAAACCTTGTTAACTCAATTTGAGCTTGATTTTCATATAATGTTAAGTGCAAATGTCTGATACAATACCAACACTGACGATGCAGTGTTTAATTGTTGATTTTTCCCCTTTCTATCTTTTCCCCCTGTATGCTATTTCAGTGCTTCAGTGTGCCATGGGATTGCTTTATATAGCTGGTTGCTGAAACCACGCCCACCTAGCTCGACAGCAGTGTCAGCAGCGGCAATCCACCTGTCAACTCAAGTGGCCACGCCCTTAATTATGCAGAACTTTAAGGCTTAATATAATTTAAACGTATGAGTTATAAAACAAATTCACCCCCCTCACAGTTGTCATGAAGGGCAAAATTAGCTATATAGACCAAAACCACTTTTTGTACCAGGCTGTAAACATATTTTTTTCTGCTGTAAAGGTGGGCATTTTAACATGGGGAGTCTATGGGACTGACTCCCTTTTGGAGCCAGTCTGTTTATAGGAGTCGATGAATTGCAATTTTAGTCACTTCCGTGTTGGTTTCACGAGAGAGACCTGAAGGTTGCCGCTTGCACGGAACCCACAACATAAATTCATTTGTAATTCAATAGCTTTAAGCTTGTTAGGGAAACAAACTGGTGCACATACACTGCTTTCACACAGTTTGGTTTTTATGAGGCAAGGGCAGAGGAAACAGCCCTGCTATAAAACAAATAAAACAACAGGAGCTTCACAAACGAGCTGGGTTAATGAAGTGCAAATCACTGGCCCTTTTCTCTAGGAGTCACTGGAAACGGCAACGATTCATTTGCTAAATAACTTCATTAGAAAAAAGGGTCAAAAGTAAAGACAGCGCAGATATGAAATACAGGACTGAATGTGTGAAATATCTACTAACAATGTACCACATGTTGGACCATTTGGGATCGTTGAAGTGGATGTAACTCGGGTCGCTCCTGGCATGACGTTTGACTCGCGTCTTCACCACCTGCTGCTGCGCCCAGTCAACCTGCAGAAAGAGCCCAGGTTATCAAAGACTAAACAGTTTCGGCTCACCTTCACGCACATAAACACGGCTGTATTTAGTCACGCTCTAGCTTTTCCATTACATGAGGCTTATGAAGTCAATGGATTCTGAGGAGGAACAAATGGGAATACAGTACTCCGAGACATGCTTCCCCAAATCCAGCCTGAGGAAAAAATACAGTCATATTGAGAGATTTTCTTAATAATTCCATTTTATGAAACACAAGACAAATGATATGTCTGTTCAATTAGAAAAGTAGTAGCACACCTCAAGAAGTCATGATTCGGAGAATCATTAATGTCATATACACTATAGTTTTTAAAAGGACTTTCTTATGCTTGTTTATTTTATTAAAAATACAGTAAAAACAGTACAATTATGAAATATTATTACAATTTGAAATAAATGTTTTCTATGTGAATATATTTTAAAATGTAATTTATTTCTGTGATGCAAAGCTGAATTTTCAGCATCATTACTCCAGTCTTCAGTGTCACATGATCCTTCAGAAATCATACTAATATGCTGATTTGCTGCTCAAGAAACATTTATGATTATTTTCAATGTTGAAACAGTTGTGTTGTTTTATATTTCTGTGGAAACCATTATTTTTTGTCTAAAAAAACAAACAAACAGTATTTACATCAAATGTATTTTCGCAGACGTCTTTACTGCCACTTTTGATAAATTTTTCAATAAACTGCATGAATAAAAAAAAAGCATTATTTCCTTAAAAAAAACCTTACTAACCCCAAACTATTTTTAACAGTAGTGAAGGAGTTTGCTCTGCCAAGTATGAGCCATTTCATTTTATAATTATTACATTTGCTTAGTGGAATCATATTTCACCTTGAATACTTAATATAAAACCAACAATGAATGTGTGTGTCTAAAAAAAACTGCATTTCATATCGATTAGCGCAGCACTGAGTACATCCAGATCTATCTAGATCTCTGTATCCTTCCCTTGAAATACATCATCTGTTGTAAATAAGGGATGCGCACTAGTCTTCTAATTAGAAAAGTCACCCAGCCATGCTTGTAGATTTATCTGTCCTGCGGCAATGCCCGAATTTGTGGTTCCTCTCAGAAGAGCTTAACTTTAGAATCACAAGCGCACTACGCTTTCTTGCATTCATTAAAAAGGTCCAGAGGGAAATGTAATGAAAATCACATACTGCAATAATTACGTCTTTCTCTGTTACAGTCCCAGTGCTATAAATGCATGGATGGGTACACAAGTACACATTCTTATTCAAAATTGGTTCTAAGCATTAAATAAATAAATAAATAAACAGTATCAAATGACATTCATGACATTTGGTTGCATTGATGATTCTTACATGTTTGAATCATACTGAAAAACTCCTGAACCACAAATGAATCTCCAGCTGAACTGAATGTGATGAGAGAGGAAGACTGGGTGCTGCTATGAAAAAAAAAAACAGACAACACATCTAAACAAGCTGCAACTGACCATTGTTGAATTAGGCAACTGATGAACAAATGACTCCTATGAGCTGTTCTTTTGAATGAATTAGCCAAAAAGACAAAAAAATATGAGTTTCTGTATTAGGTTGAATCAGTCTAATGATGACTCGCTCATTCAATCACTGATTCAGAAGAATCAGTTATTAACTTGTTAAGATATATAGTTACGATATATAACATAAAGCACCAAAAGACACGTTAAAAACATAAAAAAGTAATGTCTCAATAAATATGACTTCATGAAAACGGCATGTATTATTGTTATACAAAAATGAAAACATCAAAATTAGTTGTTTAGGCTGTTTTGTCACACACCACTTCAACAACTCATGTACTGAATAACAAGAAAAGACTATGCATTTCACTTGATTTGAAGTATGTACTGTTGCGTATATGTTATATAAATGATAGTTCATTTGAATCCAATTAAATGCAGATAAATATCTGTAAATGCACATTCTGCATTAATGCATCGAGTTGCACAATTTATAGAATGATCTTTGGTTTCATGAACTATATTACTTGACTAAAGAATAGTTTATTTGTATTATTTATACAGTAAATGTACACTACCATTTAAAACGCATTGAGGTTGGTAAAGTTTTAAATATCTGTTCGAAGTCTCTTCTGCTCACCAAGGCTGCATTTATTTAGTCAAAAAATATGGTAAAAACAGTAATATTGTGAAATATTATCAC